CCGCCACGGCTGCGGCTCCCTCGAGGTGAGCTGCAGAGCAGGACCTTGGGGCTCTGCCTGTGCCCAGTGAGTGTTCGCAGGCATCTGGCCCAAAAATCCCAGTTAACAGTCCTTTTCTCCTTTGCTTCCACACTGCGAAGCTTTGTAGTTCTTATTTTATCCCCAAATAAGTCCTGGAAGGAAACTGTGAGTGTCTTCAAAGGGCTCATTCAGACTGGGCTCTCTGGTGGGATTTATCCCCAAGCGGGAGAAAGACCAAATTCCCTTCTGCAAAGTCTGTAGTGAAGCACCCGTGGTGGTCCACCACTTGCATAGCTCTTGATCGTCCCTTTCCTCCTCAGGGGCTGTTTGCTGACACCATCAGTGCCCTTAAAGACCTGCTCAAGAGTCTCCTGCAGAGGAACCTGACCCCCCACGGGCTGCAGGACATGTTTGCGGTAGGTGCAGCCCGGCTGTCCTGGTTCTCTGGGGAGAAGCCCAGGTGCCCAACCCGAGGGTCTCAAAGCAGAGACAGCTTTGGATAGCTGGTGGGACTGGTCCTGCCTTCTCCATGGGGTGTGGGGTCCAGCGGGACCCCTGCAGAGGCAGGAGGATGCTCTGGTGGGTTTGCTCATGCTGGGCAGAGGTGTGGAGGGCATTGCCCACCCGAGGAGGGTGGCTGTGGGTCTCTTCTAGCGGGGTGGTGGGATGCACAGCCCCTGGGTCATGCTGCACATGAGCTAGGATGGGTCTGGGACGAGTTTCCCACAGCCCACGTGTGCCCCGCGGGTGGCTGAGCTGAAGGACACGAAGCAGCTGAGCTTCTGTTCTCCTTTCCGATGCCTCCCCCCTCCCCTCCGTAGCATTTAGGCCCCTGGATCAAGTCGAGCAAGGAACACGAGCGGCAGCGAGCTGTGGAGGTCAGCGCTGCTTTGCTGGACTTCTACCTGAGCAAGCTCAACGTCAGCGTGAGTAAACGCCACGCTCGGGCGTCTTTTTTGCTGGGATGCGAGGATGGGCTTTGTGCCCGTGGCCCTGTGCTCTCCTGGCTAGGGGGGGCCACCTTTGTTGCCCCCGCCAA